CACCACCTCCTCCTCCCTCTCCATCTCCGCCCCCACCGGTCGTGCCGTCACCACCACCACCACCGCCATACATACCTCTGCCACCAATAACCGGAGTTACTTATGCATCACCACCGCCCCCTTCTATCCCATACTACTGATCTCTCTCACTCTGTCACTCTCTCTCCCTCTCTAATAAGACCTCCAAATAGATATGATATGCCAATTCTCCTATAAAAAAAGGCCTGAAAAGAGTTAAGACAACAATAAATCTCAACTGCAGTAATTGGGTTGATATGTGTTGTTTGATTTCTTGGAGGAGCTGCCGATGCCTTGCAACATTTCGTATAGTCTTTAGCTTCATCAATTTTCAATTCATTTTTTTGGGGGATTTATTTTCTTCCAATTAAAGGAGGGTCAAATTCTTTCGTACAAAGTGTTGTTTTTTTTTCTTTTTTCTTTTGTTATATGTTCTAATGTTAATGGATTTGTGTATAATATGCTTGGATTTCTTGTTGAAGATAATAAAGCTTGTGTACCGGTTTGGTTTGTAAAGTAAACCCGCCCGGCTATAAAACCGTCCGAGAACCGGAACAAAATCATTGAACCGTCGAATGTCGGTCAAAAGAAGAAGAATAAGAAAAGAGCAAATGTCGAACTGAAACTTTGCAAAGACGGGGAAACTGAAAAGATCACAATAAGGGGAAAAACACGTATATACTTCATACTTGTGTATTTTGTATGAGACATTTTAAAGGTGGGGAAATTCGCATAATGAAGCATCATGTGGTGGTTGGGATTATGGAACAAATAGCTTTTGTAAGAAAGACTAGAAACTCCTGGGCTTTTCAGTCTATGTGGGTAGTGGAGAGGTTTAATTTGAAAGCTTGCTTGACCAAATTTCTAATGCGTAATGAAAATCTAACGGTCGGATATTGATTAGTAGTTATTAAGTCTATTTTCATTAGGATTTAGTAAGAGAACTATTGATCAATAGTCCGGTCGGATATTGATTAGTAGTTATTAAGTCTATTTTCATTAGGATTTAGTAAGAGAACTATTGATCAATAGTCAGTTTTTTTCAGGCTACTAATCAAAATCTGATTGTTTGATTTTCATACAATTTACTTTGTTAGAAAACTCGTCTCTAAGCTTTCAAATGACACATTTTAATGGGAAATCGGATACCTTGTTTATCAGAAAACTTACATTGAATTTTTTTTCTATACATCCTACTAGCTTCGTCGATCGATTACAGATGTATTATCTTTTTTTTTAAATGTTATTTTGGCTTTATCAACAATTAATCAAATAAATGATGTTTTGAAACTTTTGTAAATATTTTTGTATTATTACCCTCATTTAGCTAATAAATACAACGTCTTTTCATATTCACGTTTCATCTTTTCTCAAAACATTCATCTCTATCATCCTTAATAAGGGTTATTATTGAAAAAAAAATCTTAATTACTGTACAATTTCTCAAAACGACACTTATTAAAAAAATGAGTGTGTATCAATTTTTAGAAATCGACAAACCATACCTCTTTTTGTTCGTCTCACCATGGGCTTAAAAGCCTAAATCAATTTTAGAGATCAATTTAAAATTTATATTTAGTTGACTGAAAAACTTTTTTTTTTCTTTTTTTTTGACACATTAGGATTTTCAATCAATGAGACAAATTGTTAGTTTCGATTACTATTGGTGGCAAATTGTCAAGAAAAAAAGTTCGTAAGACAAACTCTAAAATGGGCATAGTTTGGGAGGTTTTTTTTTTTGTAAATTAAATTGTTTTAGAGGGAATTTACATAATTATTTCGTCGGGGTTTGTAACCTAACGATCATCATGTAATCGTCAGAGATAGTTGATCTAATTATTACAAATTTCGACGGAATGGTTTGTAACGGGACCATAGCATCTTCCTGTTTTAGATATCGCTAGTTACTACTAATAGTTGGTACTAATAAATCTTTGATCTGTAGATAAATAAAATTAATAAAAGAGAATAAATCATCTCTCATAGTCGGACAGAGATCAGAAGTCCCCAGTGAGGAGACGAAACAGCAGCAAAGTGGTGTAAAATGGCAACGATGGAGCCCCCGCCCTTTCAGGAAGCCTCGCGCTGTGATGTATGCAAATGCAGCTTCTCCGCCTTTCGCCGCCGGGTGATTCTCGGAATTCTGATGTCTAAATTTACTTCGCTTTGCAATTTTGCTTATCGTTTTATGCCATTAAATATGATCTGTGCCTGTTTATTGCTTTCTACCGAATAGTTTCGATGTCGGATTCAGATGATCTGATTGAATTGGCTGTGATACCTTCAAGTGTATTTGCTGGTTTAGTCTCTAATAAAATGAGGTTGATTGCATGGCATATCGTTTGATGATCGGATTTATGGCTGCAAAATAGGGTGGATTTTTTAGTCATATGTACCTGTTTATTTTCCAGATCGATTGATAGGAGAATAATGTATTTGTGGTTGCAAACTAGCTTTTTTACGAACTTGGTATGTTTGGGTGATCCTGGATATGGGAAATGCTGTGTGATGTTTGGGTACACAGATGAACACTCTCTCATCGAGGAAATTTTAAACGAAAACACTAGATGATCTGGACTGATCTCTGCCTCGATTTCAAAATTGTTTGTGGTTTACTTATCAAAGAAGTTGATAAAATTATATGTACAAGTGGATTTGGTGCACTGCTCTTGTACCTATACCAAAACTAGGATATGATATAATTATCAAATTTGCCATGTCGATATCACGTGCCGGATTTCTTGCCAGTCACCAGTAGAAGTGTGATGGATGGCGGTAATTGCTGCACCACATGCTGCCATGACGGCCGCTATGGCAGTATTTCAGTCTGCCACCATTTTCTTCCATCTGCCGTAGATAACACTAGGTATAATAGACACAAGCATTGGAGTGATTTTTAGTCATTACCTTCGCACCCATGGTATTGAAATGTTTTAACTTCGTTCCTGCTTTTCTGCTCTTGTCCGGGTTTCCTTGCGGTCAATAGGTAGGACTAGTTAGTTCCATTAGTTTTTATGATAATTCCTTGATTAGAACACATTCTTTGTATTATTTTCAGAAGCCGAAGTAAATTCTGGTAGAGAACTATTGAGAAAGTAGATTCTGAATTATGATTGCACCTGCGGGTAGATTTTTAAATATTAACTACATATTATAGCTGAATATCTGATTTAGGAGCATAATATCTGAAATCGGGCCCTCATTTTAAAATTATTATTTTAATATCAACATAATATAAATTTTTGTTTAAGGGACAATGGTTCACCCTTGTGACAGTTAAAGAAAATGTTTATTTTATTTATTTATTTATTTATTTATTTATTTTTTT